ATCGAGGAGGGGTCCCTGAGGAAGGGATAGCCAAAGGGGAGGAGTGAGAGACACCTCGGTGAAGGAAGATCAGGAGGAGCACGTTCCGGGCAGGAAGAGCAGCTTGGGACAGGCCCCATGTGGGAGGGAGCTTGGTGCTCTTTGGGGCTTTGAGGAAACGAAAGACCCCAATGGCTGGAATGTCAGAGCAGGGGCAGCAGGGAGCAGAATGAAGTTGGGCATTTGTGGGGGGCAGATCCTTATGTAATGTAAAGGTGTCAGACTTTGACTCAGAGTGCTGGCAGGCCATTGGGGAGCAACGGAGTTCCACCTGGGCTTGGAAGAGCTTTCTGGGGTGCCTGGGTGGCTCAATCAGTTGAGGGTCTGACTCTTAATCTCAGTTTAGGTCCTGATCTCAGAGTCATGAGATCAAGCCCCTTGTTGGGCTCCATGCTGGGTGTGGACCCTACTTAAGAAAGAAAAAAATGGGGGCACCTGGATGGCTCAGTCGGTTAAGCATCTGCTGGGATCATGCTCTGGTCATGATCCCAGGGTGCTGGGATTGAGCCCCGCATCGGGCTCTGCTCCACGGGAAGCCTGCTTCTCCCTCTCCCACTCCCCCTGCTTGTGTTCCCTCTCTTGCTCTCTGTCAAATAAATAAATAAAATCTTAAGAAAGAAAGAAAGAAAGAAAGAAAGAAAGAAAGAAAGAAAGAAAGAAAGAAAAGAAAGAAAGAAAGAAAGAAAGAAAGAAAGAAAGAAAGAAAGAAAGAAAGAAAGAAAGAAAGAAAGAAAGAAACGATCTTGGGTGCCTGGGTGGCTCAGTTGGTTAAGCGACTGCCTTCGGCTCAGGTCATGATCCTGGAGTCCTGGGATCGAGTCTCACATCAGGCTCCCTGCTCGGCAGGGAGTCTGCTTCTCCCTCTGACCCTCCCCCCCTCATGCTCTCTCTCTCTCATTCTCTCTCTCTCTCAAATAAATAAATAAAATCTTAAAAAAAGAAAGAAAGAAAGAAAGGATCTTTTATGTAGGTGTGGGGAGCCCATTGCAGCTGGGTGATGGAGGAAGTGGGGAGACTGGGACAGGGGCTCTTAACTAGGCAAGAGATGATCTTTTCTTGAGTTAGGGTGAGGGCACTGGGGACAAAGGACAGTAGGCAGAAGCATCCAGGCAGTAAAACCAACAGGACATGGCAAGGGGGTGGACGAGAAAGATGAGGAGCCAACGGTGGGGCCTCTGTGTGTGTCTCAGGGAGCATGGATGGCAGCACCGTTGGGTGAGGGAGGGAATTTGGGGAAAAGATTAGGTTTCAGGCCAGGTTCAGGGTGGCAGGGAGTGTAGATCAGGAGTGTAGATCAGGAGTGGATAATTTGAGTCTGAGGTGCCAGTGGGACAGACACGTGGAGATGCCAAAGAGACGGTTGAAAACACAGGTCTGGAGGTGAGGGGAACGGTTCAGGTTGGAGATATAAACACCAGCATTGCCGGGCAGACGGTGGCAGCTGAAGCCATGGGCTTGGAAGAGATGGCAGAGCGAAGAGACCATGCCCAGCCTAAAGGCCAAGGGGAGAACAAGGAGGAACACCTAGAGAAGCAGCAGTGGGGGCCCAGGGTCCTTGGTGTCATGAAGCTGAGCAGAAACGTGAACTTTCAGGCAGCAACCGTCTAGGATAACATGCTGCGGAGAGGCTGAGCAAGAGAGAAACAAAGATGTCCTTGACCTTGGCCACGCTGTTTGTGTGATTCAAGGGGGGCCCAGAGCTGGACTGGCTGAGAGGGTGGGGACATGGGGCCATCTTGTTTGTGCTTGGACCTCTGCATCGCTTGCTGCTGGTAGAGCGGAAGGGTACAATCCAGGGGAGGATTTTCCCCGTTGAAATAGGAACGAACATGTGAGGATCGCCCCTGCACTGGTTTGCATGTGTTCCCCGCAAGAGTGCAGTGGGCAGGGGCAGTGAGTGGTGGCTGCCCACCTTTCCCATCAGTGCAGTGATGTTTGCTACGCTCTGGCACTCCAGATCCCTCCTCATTTTTTTGGTCTGATCCAGCATTACTGATACTCAAAAAGCACTACTCGTAAAAGAAAAAAATTCATTAACATGAGAAAGTGCTTCTTATGAAAAGACACTGTTAAAAAAACACCAAAAGACAAACTGGAGGCTGAGAGAACACATCATCTGAATCTTTATCTGGCGTGAAATAAGCTTCTATCGAGAACATATAAAGAACTCGTAAAACTCAAAAATAAGAAGATATATAACCCAGTGAGAAGATGAACAAATGATTTAAACAGACATTTCACACAAGAAGGCATACAAATGGCCAATGGGCTGTTCCTCAGATACCTCAGGACCCCTCCGCCTTCACATCAGCCCGTCACTGCACCTGAATGGTTTCCTCCAGATACCTGCATGGCTCCCCTCATGGTCTTCCAGGGGGCCCACCACGCTCATTTCCTCTCCCTCTTTCCTGCTGCCTATTCTGAGGACAGCATGGCCGTGCTCCATCCAGGTGGGGTGGCAGTCAGCCTCCTGGTATACACAGCCCCATGCAGCCTCCTCCTACCACAAAGAGGCCCATGAAGGCAACAGGCTACTGTGGAAATCACTGTGTGTGACTTCCAAAGCTCAGTTATAAAAGACACTGCAGCTGCCCCCCGGCTCTCACGGTGGGGTCAGTCAGCTGCCGTATTGGAGGATGCTCAGGGAGCCCTGTAGACAGATCCGTGTGGGAGGGAGGGAGGCCTCCCACCCTCACCCAGCACTCACTTGCCAGGCGTGTGAGCAGGTTGCCCTGTGAAGACCCTTTGGCCTCCGTCAGCCTTCAGGTGAGGCAGCACTGACTGACCCTAAGCCAGACTGCGCTAAGCCTCTCCTGAATTCTCAACCCACAGAAACTAGCGGAATAATAAAAGTTTGCTGGTTTACGCTGTTAGGTTTGGTGGTGATGTGTCCTGCCACAATCATTAAGTATAGTCCAGGCTGGAGGGGACAAGCAGCCTCCGTCTGACTTGGGATCAAAGCCACATTCTACTACTTAGAAAGCACATTATTTCAACTGTCCCCGTTCATGAGGATAAGTTTACTGCATTTGTTCCTATAGGTTCTGAACCTGTAGAAAGGGAGGAAGGAGGGAGTGAAGGGGGAAGATAGGCAGGAGCCAGCCAGAGTTATAGGTAGGGGAACTGTGGAGAAAGAAATGCTGAAAAGATAATTTCTATAAACCTTTAAGGAATCATATGTGATATAATCCACGTTTCTGACCCCACCCAAGGAACTGTCGGCAAAAATATATGTTGCTGTTTAAACTCTCAGGTCAGGTTTGCGGGGAGCCCAGTCATGTGAAATTGCACACAGATGAGGGGTTGAAGCATGATTAGATCATTTCCCCAAAGTTCACACTGAAAGTAAGTGGCGGAGCTCTGGACCGAATAGTCCTGGAACTACAAGGTCAAGTCTCTGCGGCAGAAAGCAAAAGGGAGCACAGATCCAGCAACAGGATGGAGCTCTGCAGAGGGACGGTCCTCTGCCTTCCCTCTCCGCTTTCCACCAGATCCAGAATGCAGGAGTCTGGAACCAAGTGCCTCAGGACCAACTCTGAAGGCCTTATTTACTCTCAAAGCATCCTTGAGGGCCCCCAGGGGAAGGAAAGTGAGGAAAAAACCAAAGATAAAGACCTGGCGGTCCTCAAACAGTTCAGACGACCGTCTGTGCTCAGGCCTCCACCATTGGATAACTATTTTATCATCATCTCCCTTTCTCCCTGGACTTCCGGCCGCCCCTTGGCCAGGCACGGTCCTTACAGTGTGCATCGGGAAAGAGAAGTGTGTGGGAAGTTGCCGCAAACCGATTCGCCAGAGACGTGCGGGCCTAAATCATTTTAACAGCGGTAATGAGCGGGGGCTGGTTCAGCCATGTTGTCAGCAGACCACGGCTAGAGAACTTCTTTTTCCTGCCATGTGTGAGGCAGTGGAGGGGCTATCGGGGGTGGGGTGGGGAAGGGGGTCAAGCTCAGCTGCCTCCGGGTCTGGCACCCAAGGCCAGGGCTCTCCCTAATTCACCCCAACTGGCAGGAAATGGGGCTTGAGCAAAACACGCCAAACTGCTTGAAAATCAGTTGAAAGATAAATCTCACAAAACAAACAACGGAGACGGGGGCGGTTCCAAACCCTTTCTCCAAGAGAGCAAAAACAAAGAAAATTCCTAAGTTACAAACGGGAGGGTCAGGCTTTCCAATTCCAGACCTTGGCATGTGTTAGGCAAAACCAAGAATAAGCAAGAAAATATGCTATTTGAATTGCATTCAAAATGTCTTTTACAAGTGAAGCAAATTACTTCTGCATGTTCTGGGGCTCTGCAGAGAACAAACAGTGTTCTGCCTTTAATGGGTAAAATTACACAATTTGCTTTTAACAGTAAACCGAAAGCCACGGTGGCTTCAGATAGCATCGCGCTCCCTCTACGCTGCTCTAGTCGCGGCGGTTTCTGGGCATTCTGCAAGGGCCTGGTCGTCCCCACCGCGCAGCGTGGCGAGAGCCGGGAGGGCCCCCGGCGGGGACGCGGCCTGGCCCGTTTCTTTCCTTGACCGTGTCGCCTCTCCATGCGCTCGCTTCTCTTCCTCCTGCACCGCCGGTTTCTGGGACCGAGTAGCTGTCCGATTTGGCCGGGTGCGCCGGGCGAGGGAGCAGGGTGGTCCCGAGTTACTGATTTGTGACCAGGCCCCCGGGGGTCCCGCCCCCGGAGCGTGGATGCCAACTGCCCGGCGCGCCGCAGTGGCCGCGGCGAGGTCCGGCGGGCCGCCCCCAAGGCGCCCCTCTGCGTCCAAGCGTGCCGGGGGCGCGCGCGGGAGGCCCGTCCGGGGCCGGTGCGGCGGCCCCCGGCCCCGGCCCCTCGCCTCCCGCGCGCCCCGCCTGCCGCGGGCGCGTCCCTCCGGCAGGGGGCGCCGGCGCCGGCCTTGCTCGGCCCACCGGGGCGGGCGAGCCGGGGACCCTGCCTCCTGCGCGCCCGCGGTCCGCCCCCAGCGCTCCTCCCCGCGGCCGGCGGGACGCCCAGCCCGCGCCCCGGAGCCTCGCAGCCAGCCCGCGCCGCGCCCGGAGCCTCGCGGCGCGTCCGGGCCGCGACAGGAGGAAGGCTAGGAGTTCTTCGAAGGGGACCAGCTTGCGCAGAGCCCGGGAAGAAGGGCAGCGGACGCGCGGCCGACAGGGGTGGTGGCGCCCGGCCCCCACGGCCCACGGCATGGCCCCGGGCTCGGCGCTGCCGTTGATGTGCGCCCCGACCGTCTGGGTGGCCGCCGCGCTCCTGCTCTGCGTGCCCCGGACCTCAGGTAGGAGCCGCCGCCGCGCGCCCTCCCCTGCGCGTCGCCTTGGTGCACGGCGGGGGCTCGCGCTCTCGGGTCTGCGCCTCCGCGGCTGTGCCCCCGGCCTCTCTCCCGATCAGGGGGCGCCGCGCAGGGCCCCTCCCCGCCGGGCCCGCCTCGGCCCCGCGCCCCGCCGCCCGGGGCTGCTTCCAGTGAGGCGCGCTCTGGGGACGGCTAAGTGTTGCCAGAGGCCGGGCGAGCGGCGCCGGCGCCCGCGGGGAAGCCCCCGGCCAGGAGTCTGCGAGGGTCGTGAGTGTGAAGGGGGCCCGGTCCCGGGTCCGCAGATGCGTCTTTAGTTCGCAGGATTTTGACTCGGTCCTTGTCCTCCCAGGTGCCCCCTGTAGGGCCCACGGCCCCCGCGCCCCCCTCTCCGCCGGAGCCCCCCACCCAGGGCCGGCGCCGCAGTCGGGCGGGGCCCGGGGGAGGGGTTCCCGCCCCCCACCTCTAGGTCGAAAGGGACTTTGGCTTCCCTTTTGTTGGCCCCTCAGCTCCCTCCTCCACTCCCGGGAGGTAGCCGAGGGGCGTTTCCTGCCTGGGGTCGGGGGGTCGCGGGGCGGCCTTCAGGCTGCTGGGGCGGCACCCCGGGACCCGGGTCGAGGCACGCGGCCCGAGGGTCGGGCCCGGGTTCCCGGTGGCATTTTCCTGGAGGGGCACACGTTGCCCCCGGAGTCCCCGCGCGGGCTTGTCCGCGTGCGCCCTGGGGCATGCAGGAACTGCCTCGAGGTGCGGAGGGAGCCTGGGGCCCCCGTCTAGGGAGCCGGAGGAGGCGGCGCTCGCCCACGCCGTCCGGACCCCCGAGCACCTCCGGCCCGCGCCCCGCGGCCGAATTCCGGGCACCCTGCCGGGCTGGGGGAGGGCGGCGGTGCCTCCAGGCCGGGACGTCGGGAGGCTGAGGAGGTTCGCCTCCAGTCCCAGAAATGTGTGAGCTGCCCCCTTACACTTACGAGGGATTCAGTGTTGCCCGCCCCTCGCATCGTGCACCACCCGCCATGTATTCCTGCCGGCAGGTGAGAGTCAGGCGACCGTCGCAGAAGGGGGCTCACTCTTCCCGCCCGCGTCTTGCTGGCAGCTGCGCGCTCCAGGGACCTGTCTACGCAATCAGGAGTGCTGGGCAGCCTTTTTAGGGAGTCGTCTGGGTTTAAGCAGATGCTGATTAGGTCAGACGTTTCTGGTTCCTTGGTTTGGGAAGGGGGCTTGCGTAAGTCTGTCGCTGTCCCTTAAAGCATGAAGCGCTCAGGGTGCATGCACGGTGCAGTGGTAACTAGCCTATTCGAAGTCAGCCTGGGGGATTCTCACCAACATCCCCGCGGATTTCTGCACCCCTCCTCCCTGCAAGCATCCCTCTCCCCTTTAGGGCGAGGGGGGATCCGTTCGCTGCGCTGTGGGAGGGGGGCGGAGGCGGCTTAACTCGGCGCCCGGACGCGCGGTGGCCGCGCGGTGGCCGCGCGGGGCTGGGTTGTCCTGCACCACGCTCTCTGCCTGGCCGACCTGCGGCTGCGGGGGTTTGCGTTGCGCGTGCGGAGGGTGGGGTGAGAGCTGGGCGCTGCGAGAAAGACCACCCTTCTGTTGCTCCTACCAGCGTTGGAACAAGCTCGGGAAAGTAGCTCGCGTTTCCGGGCGGAGTAGTTTGAACTTTGCTGTCTTTCCCCGTCGAGTTTCAGAAATCTCTGAGGAACAAAGCAATCCTGGGTCGTTCTCCTTAACTCTTGAACCCTGAGCGGAGGTAACTTTCTCTTTTCCAGTTGTAAAATAATCCTCTCCGGTTGGGGAGGGAGTAGGAAAGGTGTTCATCGTCCTCTTCTGGAATGCTCGGTTAGCTGAAAATTCAAATTTGTTCATGTTCAAAATATGAATACAATTTTATGATGACAGGAGATTTGGGGACTTGGCATCTTTTCTGCTGTGAAGAGGCCTCCTTGTAACCTGAGTGTATTTTATACACAAAAGATGTTACTATGTAAAAACATGGAAAGGCTATTGTAGAAGGATTTATAAGTTCTTATTGTACATTTTTATGGACGGCTCTGTTCCCTAAGGAGACAAATACCTCATGGGCTGTGTGCCCCGCCTAGGTAGGATGGGCTGGGTGGGAGTGGCCGTTTTGGGGGTTCTCCCTTTCCCCATTTTGACAGTGCAGCAGCTTTGACTTCTGGCCCAGATTCTTGGACTGATGGTTATAATAAATAATGCTCGCAGTCCATTTGGAAGCAAGCAAATGAAAAAAAACATCTTGAGTAAGAAGACTTTGGAAAAAGAAAAGTTTTCATGTATATAGTAAGACAACATGTTTTTTTGATTACGGCTGTGCACGGAGCAAAGAAGCACACGTTTGAAATGTTGCAGTATTTAACAGCGAGAGCACGTTTAACCCTGGTGTCTGCTCCATACTGGATGCCGTCCTGAGACCCGAACACTGCTGGTCCTGAAGGGCGCCCACAGTGAGCTGCTGGACTGAGCGCTCACAAAAACAGCGCGGGGTGCCCGCGGGCCTCTAGGCAGTGAGGCCCAACTCTCAAATCAGCAAAGCAAGTCACCGTTGGAAAAACGAGCAGAATTTTGCTTAATGTTTCCTATGCAAAAAAACAACAGGGGTTTCCGAATGGGCTTCCTGGGGTAGTTTTTGGGGACAGTGATCTGCAGATGGACCAGGCAATGGGAACGGCATTTCCATTTCCTATAACAGAGACCTTTTTCCTATTGTTTGGTCAAAGTACAGCCTCGTTTGGTGTTTCTGTGTCTCTCTTTGCCGTGAAGTACTTGTTCGCCATGAATAGTCAGTTAGCCTTGGTTTAACCTCTGAGACATTTAAGCCTGGCAGAGCCTGGGTTTAACAGGGCTCTTTCCTCTGGAATCTTCCCTCCCCACCCCCATCTGTGGGATAGAAATGTCCTGGGGCCACAGCTCCTCAGACAGGTAGGGAGGATGAATCCTCTAAAGGGGGATTTCTGAAGCCAGGTTTCAGAAGGGGCTGGAGAAGGGGCGCTCCTTTAAAATGCATTCCACCACGGGGAGGCCAGGATGTGGAAAGTTATTATCATTGAAATGGGACCTGGGTGTGAAGGGCTTGGCCTCCCTGATCTGCAGAATCCTGGTCAGCCTGCTGAAGCACAGGAAATTTGTGTACTCTCTAACTCTTTCCCCTGGGAGAGCTCTAATTATATCATTCCAAGTTGCAGTCAAGGAAAAGGCAGTGGGCTGCTAAGTGTTACCCCCACCCAAGGTTTACGACCACCTTCTAAAACATTCGTTGATGTCAGATGCCTTTTGGTGTTTATTTGGTCCATTCCCTGGGAACCGACCCCTCGGCCTCCCCTGCAGCAGTGTGGAAAAGGGCAGGGTAGCAAAGCTTTGGGTTTGCCCTGCTGTGCCCGGTAGAGAAGGTTGTCATTAAGATCCTTCCTTCTTGGGGTGCCTGGGTGGCTCAGTCGTTAAGCATCTGCCTTCGGCTCAGGTCAAGATCCCAGGGTCCTGGGGTGGAGCCCCACATCGGGCTCCCTGCTCAGCGGGGAGTCTGCTTCTCCCTCTCCCACTCCCCCTGCTTGTGGTCCCTCTCTCGCTGTCTCTCTCTCTGTGAAATAAATAAATAAAATCTTTAAAAAAAAAAAAAGATCCTTCCTTCTTTGGGGACCCTGTGGTGACTGCCAGGCGACCTCCAAGAACACCATGCACGAAAGCTTTCAGAGCAGAGGGGGCTTTGCTTTGCAGAGAGAGGAAGCATTGCCTGAGAGGTCTGGATTTGGCGTGCCCAGTAGCAACTTCATGAGAGGACAGTTCGGGTTAAAAGCACTGATGCTGGAAACATTGCCCTGCAGGGACCCTTTGGGTTCTTTGGTTTTGTGTTGTTCACTGCAGAACAGAAATGGTAGGAGTCTGATGAGTAGTGAGGGCTTCCTGAGTTTTGAAGTAACAATCGGAGCAACAAGAGGAGCTCCATTAATTATGGCTGCAACTGGTGGGGGTTGGTACCAGCCTCTCTCTGGTAGGTATTTATTTGGTGATGTCGAGGACCTTGGAAATATGGGCAGGACAGCTCTGCTCACATGTGCAATTGTCGGAGAACGTACGGGCAGTGTGATCTATTTAAAATCATAGTAACAGAGTGGCCAAGGAATTGTTGAGCAAAGCTTTTCAAAAATAAGGAATTGTGCTAGTGTGGTTTGCACCATTTTTGGGGATTTCTGTTCTGTTTTTTGTTTGTTTGTTTGTTTTGTTGTGTGTGTTTAAGTTCTATCTCAGAAAGTACCAAAAAAAAAAAAAAATCAAAAGCCAAAGGGAAGGAAGTAATTACAGAAAAATTTGGCCTAATTAGACTAAGTGGCTTGTCTTCTAGAAAATCTCACGTTCCAGTGGGAAGTGGTGTGTGTGTGTCTTTAATTGTCTTTGGAATGAGCTCCAGTAGGCTGTCACTTGTGAGATGTTATCTGGGGAGAATGTGGCTGCTTCTTCAAGTCCTCTGGGAGTGGGGGAGGGTTTGCCCCACATCCCCCAAGTTCCCAGCCCAGTGATTTCCCCCAGCCCGGCGCCCCCCTTGGGGGCTAGTTAACCCAGCGTGCACTGAAAAGACAGAAATCCCCCTTGCAGACCTGAGCCCCAGAGGACAGTCGCTGCCGGGCACATGTAACTCTTCAGGTTAAAATTAATTAAACTGAGATGAAAGATTCACTTCCTTCGCTGCACTGGCTGGATTTCACAGGTCCACGCACACAGAGGACATTCCCATCACTGCTGGGAGCTCTGTCGCTCGCCACCCCCCTCCCCGCCAGGGGCTGTTCCTCTCCTCCGTCGGGGCAAGGAGGGGCTCCACTTGGTTTGCTTTGTTTGTTGCCTGTGGGAGGTGGGAAGGCAGAACCCAGCTGGATGGACTCTAACATGTGGACCCAGAGGGCCCTGCCCCAGAGGTGCCCAGCACGGAGCCTCCTGCGCCCCGCACGGGGCTACACAGAATTACGTGAACACGTGTGTGCACC